CGTGAGAGAGTCCTCATCCGGAAAGTAAAATGTGCCCATAGGCTTTTGCAGCAGCTCCGTATGCTTCAGTTCGTCCTGCAGTTGCGGGAACCTCGGCTGGTACCGGCCGGTGTTGCCTCGGCTAGAGCCGGCACCTCCACCTCTAGTGTGCTTCTGCCTTGGCGCCATCTGTCAAAACGAATCCAAACAAGAATTCCAACGGGGCTTCCAAGTGTTAGAATTAATTTACAAAGTACAACGATGGCCCCGTCAGCAATTAATCAAGCGAAAATATCATCATAGTAGAACAAACCCAAGTTTAACCAGAATAGTTGAAAAGTTTGAATTTTTATCAAAGAACAGTTCTTTGAATAAAAGTTTCAAATTTTCAACGACACACGGTATAAACAAGGTCACAAGAAAGCTTATTCATCACAACAGTGTTTGTAGTATGGAGTTCTTCCCAAAAGAATTAGCAAAAAGATCACCATTAGGGGAAGAACCCAAAATTCTCAAATTGGACAAAATTTTGCCTAAAATTGGGGATTTATGCTCAAATGGACTCAACAACAAGGTTTCAACCTTACAAGCAATAATTCATTCCTTAATTCAAGCAACAAGCACAAAATCCCCAAATTTTTCTCGCATTCAACAAGATTTACCCTAAATTGGCTAAATTAGTTCAAAAATTAGGGATTTCAATCAAAAGAGGCAAATTCATCAACATACACCATCAAAATCATCAATTCAAGCCTCAATTAACACAAAGAAATCACAATCACTAAGATTCGAGCACATGCAAAGTCAGACCTAAAAGCTTCAAACACCACCATTAATGGTGGAAGAAAGAGAGAGGAAGAAGATGAAAGTTACCTTGAGTGAAGAGAAGAGAGAGAAGGGCAGAGGGCCGGTGGTCTGGGTTCGCGGCGGTCGTCGGTGTGGTGCGACGGTGGTGGTGGGTCGCGGGTGGCCTAGGTAACGTCGAGGGAGAAGAACGATTGGGGGGCTGCTTCGTTGGTCGCGTGGAGAGAAGGGGGGAAGGGGTTGGGGTTTGTTTAAGTCGCGGGGGTATTTCGGTCAAATCGCCCAAGCACGATCGTGCCTAGGCCAGACACGATCGTGTCTGGCAGGCAGTGGGCACGCTCCTCTCGCGTCCCAGGCACGATCGTGCCTCCAGCCAGACACGATCGTGCCTGGCTGGCAGTGGCCTCGCGTGTTTTCCCCTTTGCAGGCACGATCGTGCCTGCCCAGGCACGACCGTGCCTGGCAAAAATCGAAATATTATTTTTTTTTTTTTGGGTTTTTGTGGGTTTTTTGAAAAGCAACAAAACTAAACTAATGAAGCAAAAATTAAGCTCGGGTTGCCTCCCGAGAAGCGCTATTTTTAACGTCGTTTGCCCGACGCATCTACACATTCATCTCTCCAAATTCGTGACAAAGGTCACCTCACGCTCGCGTTCTAGCGGTCCTCCGTAGTATTTCTTCAGGTGATGGCCGTTAACTTTAAAACGGCCCTTCTCAGGATGATCAATCTCAACAGTTCCATACGGAAAAACTTCGCTCACTACAAAAGGACCGGACCACCTAGACTTCAACTTTCCTTTAAAAATCTTCATTCGGGGATTGAATAGCAGAACTTGATCCCCCTTACGAAACTCTTTTCCTTGCTTAATGTGCCGATCATGATAGGCTTTGGTACGCTCCTTACTAATCTTAGAGTTCTCATAGGCGATAAGCCTCCACTCATCCAACTCGTTGAGCTTCCAAAGTCGCTCACGACCCGCCAAAGACAAATCCTTATTCAGTGTTTTCATGGCCCAGTATGCCTTATGCTCTATCTCTACCGGAAGGTGGCACGCCTTCCCATAAACCAAGTGAAACGGAGTAGTGCCAATGGGTGTCTTATACGCTGTACGTAGTGCCCACAGCGCATCATCAAGCTTATCAGACCAATCCTTCCTATGGGTCTCAACAGTCTTCTCAAGGATGGTCTTAATGTCCCTATTCGAGTTCTCCACTTGGCCACTAGTTTGAGGGTGATAAGGGACGCCCCCTTTATGAGTGACCCTGTATTTTGCCAGAAGGCGAGTCATCGGATCATTCCTAAAGTGGGTTCCCCTGTCACTTATCAAAACTCGTGGCACTCCAAACCTAGAAAACAATTTCTTCAGAAAACGAATCACAACTCTAGCATCGTTAGTGGGCAGAGCTTCAGCCTCAACCCACTTAGAGACATAATCCACAACAACCAGAATGAATTTATTACCTTTAGAACCCGGGAACGGCCCCATGAAGTCAATGCCCCAAACATCAAATACCTCACAAGCCAATATGAAATTTTGGGGCATCTCATCCCTCTTGGTAACCGGCCCGGTGCGTTGACACCTGTCACATTCCTGCACAAACGTTAGAGCATCTTTAAACAACGTGTGCCAGAAGAAACCACATTCCAACACCTTACGAGCTGTCCGGTTAAAAGAATAGTGTCCCCCAGTCGGTCCGGAGTGACAATGTTTGAGAATCTCAACTCCTTCACTCAAGGGAACACATCTTCTAACAACCTGATCAGCACAAATACGAAACAAATATGGTTCCTCCCAGAAATAATACTTCAGATCAGCAAAAAATTTCCTTCATTGATGAGGTGTATAATCAGAAGGAACAACACCCCCAACAAGATAGTTGGCGATGTCAGAAAACCAAGGCACCTCATCAACGATCCTCAAAAGTCTCTCATCAGGAAAAGTACCCTCAATATCTCTCTCACTCAGGGAATCAAGAAAGGGGTTTTCTAACCTACTCAAGTGATGAGCCGCTAAATTCTCAGCCCCTTTCTTATCCCTAATCTCAATATCAAACTCCTGGAGTAGTAATATCCACCGAATCAATCTAGGCTTGACATCCACTTTTTGCATCAAATATTTGAGAGCAGAATGATCGGTGAATATCACTACCTTAGACAAAATCATATAAGGACGAAACTTGTCAAGAGCAAACACAATAGCAAGCAATTCTTTCTCGGTGGTAGTATAGTTTTCTTGGGCACTATCGAGAGTCTTAGAAGCATAAGAAATAGGCTGAAAATGTTTATCTCGACGCTGCCCAAGAACGGCTCCTACTGCAAACTCACTAGCATCACACATAATCTCGAAAGGCAAAGACCAGTCAGGAGCTACTACCACCGGTGCCTTGACCAGTTTCTCCTTCAAACACTCAAAAGCCTCTAAACACTCCTTTGAGAAGTCAAACGGTGTGTCCTTCTCAAGGAGCTTAGTCATGGGTCGGGCTATCTTAGAAAAGTCCTGGATGAACCTACGGTAAAAACCTGCGTGGCCTAGAAAACTCCTAATGGCACGGACCGAAGTAGGGGAGGTAGTTTAGAAATCACATCAACCTTAGCCGGATCAACCTCAATCCCCCTACTTGAAATCTTATGCCCTAGGACCACTCCCTCACTAACCATGAAGTGGCACTTCTCCCAGTTAAGTACCAAATTCACCTCTCAACACCTAACCAGGACTTTCTTCAAATTCTCTAAGCACTCATCAAAAGTATCACCATACACATAAAAGTCATCCATAAAAACCTCCATAAACTTCCCGATGAAATCCCCAAAAATAGCAAGCATGCATCTCATAAAGGTAGTAGGGGCATTACATAATCCAAACGCCATCCTCCGATAAGCAAAGGTACCGAATGGACATGTAAAAGTGGTCTTATCCTGGTTCTCGGGGGCTATGGGGATCTGGAAGTATCCCGACATCCCGTCAAGGAAACAGTAAAACTTATGCCCTGCTAACCTTTCTAAAATCTGATCAATGAAGGGGAGTGGGAAGTGGTCTTTCCGGGTGGCGGCATTCAACCTTCGGTAATCAATGCAAACCCGCCATCCGGTGACCGTACGTGTAGCAATCAACTCATCTTTCTCATTCCTAACCACAGTCATCCCCCCCCCCCCCCCCCTTTCTTGGGAACCACCTGGGTCGGGCTGACCCAAGGGCTGTCTGAAATTGGATAAATAATCCCTACATCTAACAGACGGATGACTTCCTCCCTGACCACCTCCTGCATATTAGGATTCAGTCTCCTTTGTGGCTGCACTACCGGTTTAGCATTATCTTCCATCAAAGTTTCCGGGCTAGAGCTTCCCTTTGTTCACAAAGTAAGTCAAGACATGCAGATTTTTGGGATGGCTCAAGCCCGGATGCAAGAATAATAGGGAGGTCAGGACTATCATCAAGAAACGCATACTCAAGGTGGGAGGGAAGAGGCTTTAGATTTAATGGAGAAGGAGTAACAATAGAAGAATCAGTCTGACAGTCTTCCTTCTCCACCTTATCTAAGTCATCTTCCTTCCCCTTCACATCACTAGCATCACTTGAGTCCTCCTCCCCATCAAGCATAAGACAATCAAAACTAGGGAGGAGCTCAAGATCCTCTGCTGACAAACTATCATCCAAAAGAAGATCAAAGAAGGCTTCATCAGAAAGCATGTTAGGAATGCAATCCTCCACCAAAGAATCAACCACATCCATGTAAAAACACTCTCCACTATCTTGACAGGGCCTCTTCATTATTTTGGACATGTCAAAGGTGGCAGACTCATCCCCAACGCGGAGGACAAGCTTACCGTCTCCAACATCAATAAGTGCTCGGGCAGTTGCCAAGAACGGTCTGCCCAAAATCAATGGTACTTCCCGATCCTGATCCATGTCCAAAATAACAAAGTCCACCGGGAAAATAAATTTGTCCACTTTAACCAACACGTCTTCAATAATCCCTTGAGGATATTTGACTGAACGATCAGCCAACTGAATGCACATACGTGTAGGTTTAAGTGGACCGAGTGCAAGCTTTTCATATAAAGCAAGAGACATTAAATTAATGCTTGCACCCAAATCAGCCAGGGCCCTATCAAAAGTAAGATCTCCTATAAAAATGGGAATACTAAAAGTGTCACGCCCCGGACCTCCCCGGACACGTCAACAACCCGCCGTACAATACGAATAGTCAACCGCAGTCCAACACATTCATATTATACAAGGCGTCTCGAATATCATTCACACGTAAGCCATCCATAAACAAACATAATAAGTAATCGAATACATAGCGGAAAACATAGTTTGAAAACAAATGCCACACGTGGCTAACATGAGCACGCAGGCTCTATAGTAAAATATCCATGAGCATGTTTATTAATGTTTAAAACTGAATGGAGGGAGCACGAACCAAGTCTTCCCTCCTAGATGATCCCTCGAGCAACGAGCACAGGAAGCAAGCTCTAGCCTCAACCTGAAAAATGGTGGTGGGACGCCCCCGAAGGGGTCAGCACTCTATACGGCTATAAAGTGCTGGTGTGGATGGCATCTAATAGATATACAACAAGTATTTCAAACACAAGACCCTCAAATAGGGTGATAATATAATCTAGGCCGTAACCCCAAGTTACCCCGTTTTAAAATATACTTACTTTATATATAAAGTCAAGTAGTCGGCCCGTAGGCCCAAGGTTTGTTTATCAAACATACCCCAAAATCCCGTGACCCCTAGTCACAACAATACATAGGGTCCAACCCTAACACATATGTTTGCATTCTCGAGTCCAACTCGACTACATCACCATGCACCTTTATTAACATAAGCTAACCACTCCACCGTGCATTCTCGAGTCCAACTCGACTACATCCCCATGCACACAATCACCTCATCATGTCTACCCAATGCAATTCTATGAGCACGGGCTCAAGTACATCTCCTTACATTGGCATAGACCCCAATTCCTAAGCACTCACTAGGCCTAGAATTGTAATATCAATAATCTATCTTGGGACATCCCTACGGACTGCCCAACCATGGTCTTAGCATCACATTACATCAATTTAGTCACTTGCATCACAATCAAGTTCATCAATTACAATCAAATCCTTAGATTCAATTCTTCAACAATTTCAACAATCATTAACTAGTATTTCAATACTATTAAGATTATTCTTATCAATCATATATTCCATTTGTAAATCCCTACATATTTAGAGATATGTAGCAGCAACTTAATCATTCAATGTAATACATAAATAATCATTTATGTATCTACACAATTCACACATGAGTAAAATGCCTATTTCACACAATAGTTCATTTAACTCCATTTTCATCAATACTTTACCAAATCATTTCTTATTTCATTCTTTGGAAAATATATCAATATTCCATCAATAGGTTATCATCATAATCCATGGAAAACATTATTTAAGCATTTAGGTAATCTCATGCTTAACCTACAAGTTGTAAGCAACTAGATGTCGATCCTCACCTCAAATGAGCTTTAAAACCTTCCTTCTCGATCCAATGGCTAAAGCCTCGGCCAAGGAAGATTGGGAACTAGTTCCTTGCTTGAAAATGGGTGCTAAACAGCCTCCTCAAGTTGCTATTTCAACCCCGAATCGTTGATACTAAAACAGCCCCTAGAACGGGTGTTTTCCGGCTAACTCGATTCCTAGTTTTCCAATGTTTGCATCTAGGTTAGTATCTAACCTTTACATCAATAAAATAACTTAATAGGGATGTTTTATACACTTGGAGTAGTGTATAATAGTCCCACCAATCGTTCATATCATTTGGAAAATGAATGGAAAGGTTTTGGGATTAACAACTCACTTAGAAGAGTAAATCCGTCCCTGCGAGGTCTCGTTCTGCTCGGACGATTTGGAAGCCTTCCTCTACTCCGATTGATGCAAACCAGACCTTCACGGATTCCTCGTCTTGAGAGCTTTCTTTTGGTATCTCACACGCCTTAATTGGATTGGTAAAACTCGAGATATCGGCCAAACAGTCTCAGCACTCTCACAGCTCGAGTTCACAGACCTCTGCTCGTTCCAGATCGATTTTTGGAGGATTGACTTCTCCTCTCGAACTGTGGCCACTCAAATATGAAAATAGACTTCAAAAGCTATCCAAAGACACCTTATACACGTTGTTTGGTCGAGTATAACTCCCATAATGAGTGGAGACAAACAGCACACCATTTTGTGCGGAAATTGACAAGGTGGGTCTCAAGGTTGATTCCAATCAAGTCTTGTGCAGCCCTCCTCCAGCTGGTGCGGCCAAGGTAAGTCTCCTCACTTAATTTTCTTGTTTTGTAGGTACTCTAATCATGTGGAGTGGTTCCCAATTGATCCCAATTAATTTGGGATCCAAATTATCTACCAATACTTCCAAAAATGGGGAAAATGGGTCCTATTGTTTTATCTTTGTCAAAAGATGTCTTTTTGTACTCATCCTAATTTATTTAGAACAAGTCAACTTCCTAAATCACATTATTGATCTCCAATATGTGTAGGCTCATCCCAATAATTTACATTATGAAAATTACAAACGAATGCGGGTTTGAACAATACAATATTCAATCATATACTTCGTAAAATATTAATCGTTTCTTCCATTGTTTTGAAATCGGAAATTCAATACATCACTTTGGAATTTTTAAATCGAATTTTCAAGGACGTTCGGGTGCGGTGTCACAAGTTCACCCCCCCTTAACAGGAATTTCGTCCCCGAAATTCACAGCTCTACTCGAATAAGAAAGCATACTGCTTCCTCATCAAAGCCTCTGTTTCCCATGTCTCTTCCTCGACCCGATCGCTCTTCCACAGGACTTTAACCATTGGGACTTCTTTGCTCCTCAGCTTCTTCACCTTTCTATCGGTGACCTTGATAGGTTGAACAGCGTAGTTCAAATCCTCACGTACCTCTACAGGTGGCTTCTCCAATACGTGAGAGGGATCGTGCACATACTTCTTAAGCATGGATACATGAAACACATTATGTATCTTCTCTAACTCAGGAGTCAACTGTAGACGATATGCAACGGCCCCAATCCTCTCTATAATTCTGAATGGACCTATATATCGTGGGTTAAGTTTTCCTCGGGTTTGGAACCGAATGATCCCTTTCCAAGGAGAAACTTTCAAGAATACCTCGTCATCAACCTTAAACTCTAAGGTTCTTCGACGCTTATCTGCATAACTCTTTTGTCTATCCTGAGCCGCCTTGAGTCTCTCTCGAATCAACTTCACCTTTGATTTGGTGACCTCAACCAACTCAGTACCCTCGAGTTTGGCCATGCCAACCTCGTCCCAGCATAACGGTGTACGACACCTTCTCCCATACAATGCCTCGTATGGAGGCATGCCGATGCTTGCCTGATAACTGTTGTTATAGGCAAACTCCACAAGTGCTAAGTGGTTGTCCCAACTTCCTTGGAACTCCAATGCACAAGCCCTCAACATGTCTTCCAAGATCTGTATGACTCTTTCAGACTGTCCATCCGTCTGTGGGTGGAAAGCAGTACTGAACTTCAACCTCGTTCCCATAGACTCCTGAAATTTCGGCCAAAAACGTGATGTGAATCGTGGGTCTCTATCGGATACAATGGTCACTGGGACCCCATGCAGCCTCACGATCTCATCCGTATACAATTTGGCTAACCTCTCAAGTGGGTAGGTAGTGTTGATAGGCAAGAAGTGTGCACTCTTTGTGAGCCTATCCACAACGACCCAAACTGCATCATAGTTCCTGATTGTCCGTGGTAAACTTACCACGAAATCCATAGTCACGTGTTCCCACTTCCATTCAGGAATGGAAAGTGGCTGCAATAAGCCTGCTGGATGCTGATGTTCCGCCTTAACTTGTTGACAAGTAAGGCATCGACTAATGTATTCGGCTATTTCCCTCTTCATCCCAGACCACCAGTAACTTTCTTTCAAGTCACGGTACATTTTCGTGCCCCCCGGGTGCATGGCATACGCCGATGAATGAGCCTCCTCTAAGATGGACTTTCGGAGCTCCTCATCTGCCGGTACACACACTCGGTCACGAAATAATAAGAGACCGTCATCTCTTTCTCTGAAGTCCTCCACCGGTCCCGCTTGCATGCGTTCCCGGATCTTCATAATTTCTTCGTCGGTTTCCTGACCCTTCTTGATCTCATCAAGTAAAGTAGGTCTCACCTCAAATCGTGCCAATAAGGCACCATCGCTGGATACCTCCAGTTGGGCTCTTAATGCCCTCAAATTAGCTAGCAATGCCCCAGACGAGCTCTTCCGGCTCAAAGCATCTGCCACCACATTTGCCTTGCCTGGGTGGTACTCTATCACTAGATGGTAGTCTTTTATCAGCTCCATCCACCGTCTCTGTCTCATGTTTAGCTCTTTCTGAGTAAACACGTACTTCAAGCTCTTGTGATCAGTGTATATGTGACATGTCTCCCCGTAGAGATAATGTCTCCATATCTTCAGTGCAAACACCACTGCTCCCAGCTCCAGATCATGGGTAGGATAATTTACCTCATGCTTCTTCAACTGTCGTGAAGCATAGGCAATTACCCTCCCTTCCTGCATCAACACACACCCAAACCCTTGGATGCTCGCGTCACTATAGACATCGTACCCCACACCCTGTTTGGGTAATGCAAGTACCGGTGCCTCGGTCAATCTCTTCTTTAGTTCGATGAATCCTTTCTCACATTTGTCATCCCATATAAACTTAGCTCCCTTTCGAGTGAGCTTCGTCAACGGCGACGCCAAAACAGAGAACTTTTCCACGAACTTTCTGTAATAGCCTGCCAATCCAAGGAAACTACGAATCTCCTTGACATTCCTTGGTCTCTCCCATTCGGTAATGGCCTCTATCTTCTTATTATCAACAGCAATTCCCGATCCCGAAACCACATGCCCGAGAAAGCCAATTTCCTTTAGCCAAAATTCACATTTAGAAAATTTGGCATAAAGTTGCTTCTCCCGTAGTGTCTCAAGAACGAGTATCAAGTGCTCTTCATGCTCTTCCTCACTCTTTGAGTAAATCAAAATGTCGTCTATGAACACAATCACGAATCGATCCAAGTATTTATGGAATACTCGGTTCATCAAGTCCATGAATGCCGCTGGGGCGTTTGTCAACCCAAACGACATAACAAGGAACTCAAAATGTCCATACCTTGTGCGGAAAGCACTCTTTGGTATGTCGTCTTCCTTAATCTTCAATTGATGGTAACCCGACCTCAAATCGATCTTTGAAAACACGGTTGCCCCTCGTAGTTGGTCAAACAAGTCATCAATTCTAGGCAAAGGATACCTATTCTTGATTGTGACCTTGTTCAGTTGACGATAGTCAATACACATTCGAAGTGTCCCATCTTTCTTTTTCACAAAAAGAACTGGTGCTCCCCACGGGGAGTGGCTTGGTCTAATGAAACCGTTATCCAAAAGCTCTTGCAATTGGGTTTTCAACTCGTTAAGTTCAGCGGGTGCCATACGGTATGGCGGTATGGAGATTGGTTTGGTGCCGGGCTCGACCTCGATCACGAACTCAATCTCCCTATCGGGTGGAAGTCCCGGTAAGTCTTTAGGAAAGACGTCCCGATACTTGCATACTACCCTAACATCATCAATGCTCGTATCTTCTTTGGTTTTGTCCACCACATACGCTAGATATGCGTGACACCCCTTCCTCATCATATTCTTAGCCCTCACGGCGGATATGATACAACTATTGGATTTTGCCCTATCCCCCTCGAAGCGTAAGGTTACCCCTTCATTGCCTTCGAGTTCAAGTACTTTCGTGTAACAATCGACCCTAGCATGATGATTCTCAAGCCAATCCATCCCCAGGATTGCATCGAACTCAATCATACTCAGCGGCACGAAATCACACGACAAGTTTTGGCCCTCCACTTCCACCTCACACGATGGATAGTGGCTATCTCTCTCGATGTCTTCCCCTAGGGGTGTGGATACCAATAGGGCTTGAGCCATCGGTACCAGGGGTGCGTTGAATCCCCCGGCGAATGCCTCACTCACAAATGATCGTTGCGCCCCGGTATCGATGAGGATTCTCGCACATCTCCCATTAATCTTTAGTGTTCCTACATTTATAAACCATGTAAGATACCTCTCTAACATACCGACCAATCCTACGAAGAACATAATGCGAAATCATGTCCTTAAAGTGGGCAAAATCCCCCAATTATGGTTGACGTTCGCAGTTGAGATATAGATTGACACTGTCTCACCGTTTTGATCATAACTCTTCACATACTTAACCAAATCGTTCGATTCAAATTCCATCATTTAGACAATGAAAATATCTACAACTTTCATGAAGACAACTTTTTCATTTGACGAACACTTCGAGGTGTACCCGGTCGGGTAACATACTATACCCGATCGGGTATAAGTTCCAGTGGGTTCGGGCAGAATTTTTGACAAACCCGGTCGGGTTTACCACCATACCCGGTCGGGTATGTGTTCCAGAAAGTGTCTGGAAGATATTTTTGACAAACCCGGTCGGGTATACCACCATACCCGGTCGGGTATGTGTTCCAGAAGGTGTCGGGCAGAAATTTTTGACAAACCCGGTCGGGTATACCACCATACCCGGTCGGGTATGTGTTCCAGTGGACTTATGAGTGCAAAAACTTGTCCTACCCGGTCGGGTTCATTACCAAACCCGATCGGGTATGCGATCCAGAAGGTTTACGAGGGCAAAAACTCGTCCCACCCGGTAGGGTTTATTGCCCTACCCGATCGGGTAGTAGCATGGTTTTGCTCTCCTTTCCCATTTCAATCTTACGTCTGCTCCCACCTGGATTCTAGGATTTATAACTTCAATTTATGGACTGATTAAGGATAAAACACTAGTATACGAGAGGCAATACCTGCAACGGAATCCGGGTTAGCTTGAGCATCCGCCTCCGTCATCGCGTAGACCCTAGCTTGAGTCCTTCCTTGATTCACGGACGGCGCGTTGCTTGCGCTTGCTCCCCCTTGCCCCCTGGACGCTTGTGAAGTCCCGGCTTGATTCCGTGTCCCGGTATTACCACTACTTGGCCCTGATGCCCTCGTCCCGCCCAGTTGTGGGCAGTTCATCTTCATGTGACCGGTGCTCCCGCATTGGTAGCATCTAGGAGGGTCACGACATTTCCCCGGGTGGTTCCTCTTGCAATTCTTGCAACGAGTCACCCCCGAGGCTTGTGATTGCCCGCCCGGGCCATGACTTCCCCTAGGTGGCAGTGGGGGTGTCCGAAAAGATCCCCCTCCCCCATGGTTCCCCTTTTTGCTAGGACCTTGATGCCCATGGTTCTCCCACTTCCTCTTCTTTGCCTCTTCGGCGTTCTTCAACTTTCTTTCCTCCCATTCTTTCTCTCCTTTTAACCCTTGCTCGACCACTTGGCTAAAAGTCATGTTAGGCAACTGTGTTGCCCTCTCACGCACCTCCAGGTCTAAGGCATCCCAGAAGTGATTTACCATCCGGTTCTCGTCACACACATACTCCGGTATGAACTCCGCGAGCTCCCTGAATTTGTGTTCAAGTTGCCTCACCGTCATTTTGCCACCTTGGGTTAGGAGGGTATACTCTCTCCTCTTGGCGTTCACCTCAAAATCAGAATAATATTGGGCAAAGAACTCCTGTCGGAAATTCTCCCAAGTCACCGTGTTGCCATACTTTCCCTTGGCTCCGTCCCACCATGTGGATGCCATCCCTTCAAGCAACCTCACCGCCACCCTTAGCTTAAACTCGGGGGTGAGTTGCATATCAAGGGCTGCTTCGTTCAGCCTCTTGATCCATTCTGCGGCAACCGAGATGTCACCTGCTCCGTTGAAGGGTTTGCACCCCAAGTCTCTCGCCTCTTTGAGAAATTTTGAGATCCTTATGATCGGACCTCCATCACCCCGGCCCCCATGTGGTTCAATGTGGGCCCTAGAGTCGCCTTGGCTTCTTCCTCTTGAAGCCCCACCCAAAGTTCGCCCTCCCCGGCGCCTTCGGCGTTCCCTCCTTTCTTCGCGCTCCCGCTGATATTGTTGGAGCAGCGCCTCGATTCTGGCTAGGGAGTCATTCTCCCCTCCTTCATCACTTATATCATCGTCATCCCCTTCGTAAGGGGTCTCAACCGGCTCGGTCTCCGGTTGGTAAGTTGAGTCCTCATAGGACCAGTAGGTTTCACTTTCTGTGTCAACATGACCGTCACTCACGGTCTGTGATCGGCCTCCACAGCCAGCTCCCCTAGACGCCCTAGAGGTCCTTCGACTGCCCTGTCCAGTCTCCACTGGTACACGGCCCGTCGGGTTTCTCCTAGTAATCCTGCCACCACCGTCCATTTCTGAAAGAAATTTGGAAAGAGTCATTAGACTCGTATCAAATGTCAATTGACGGATAGGTACTTAAGACACATTTTGGCTCGAGTCACCGCCATACCAATTGCTAAGGGTACCATCTTAACAATTAGAGACCTTGCAACCCAAGTACCAAAAGCTCTCCAAGTACAAAACTCCTATGCTCATGGTTTTCAAAATCTTTTTCAAAAAGAGAATTTTGAGACTTCATTATGAAGTTTATGGACTAAGGCTCTGATACCAACTTAATTGTCACGCCCCGGACCTCCCCGGACACGTCAACAACCCGCCGTACAATACGAATAGTCAACCGCAGTCCAACACATTCATATTATACAAGGCGTCTCGAATATCATTCACACGTAAGCCATCCATAAACAAACATAATAAGTAATCGAATACATAGCGGAAAACATAGTTTGAAAACAAATGCCACACGTGGCTAACATGAGCACGCAGGCTCTATAGTAAAATATCCATGAGCATGTTTATTAATGTTTAAAACTGAATGGAGGGAGCACGAACCAAGTCTTCCCTCCTAGATGATCCCTCGAGCAACGAGCACAGGAAGCAAGCTCTAGCCTCAACCTGAAAAATGGTGGTGGGACGCCCCCGAAGGGGTCAGCACTCTATACGGCTATAAAGTGCTGGTGTGGATGGCATCTAATAGATATACAACAAGTATTTCAAACACAAGACCCTCAAATAGGGTGATAATATAATCTAGGCCGTAACCCCAAGTTACCCCGTTTTAAAATATACTTACTTTATATATAAAGTCAAGTAGTCGGCCCGTAGGCCCAAGGTTTGTTTATCAAACATACCCCAAAATCCCGTGACCCCTAGTCACAACAATACATAGGGTCCAACCCTAACACATATGTTTGCATTCTCGAGTCCAACTCGACTACATCACCATGCACCTTTATTAACATAAGCTAACCACTCCACCGTGCATTCTCGAGTCCAACTCGACTACATCCCCATGCACACAATCACCTCATCATGTCTACCCAATGCAATTCTATGAGCACGGGCTCAAGTACATCTCCTTACATTGGCATAGACCCCAATTCCTAAGCACTCACTAGGCCTAGAATTGTAATATCAATAATCTATCTTGGGACATCCCTACGGACTGCCCAACCATGGTCTTAGCATCACATTACATCAATTTAGTCACTTGCATCACAATCAAGTTCATCAATTACAATCAAATCCTTAGATTCAATTCTTCAACAATTTCAACAATCATTAACTAGTATTTCAATACTATTAAGATTATTCTTATCAATCATATATTCCATTTGTAAATCCCTACATATTTAGAGATATGTAGCAGCAACTTAATCATTCAATGTAATACATAAATAATCATTTATGTATCTACACAATTCACACATGAGTAAAATGCCTATTTCACACAATAGTTCATTTAACTCCATTTTCATCAATACTTTACCAAATCATTTCTTATTTCATTCTTTGGAAAATAGATCAATATTCCATCAATAGGTTATCATCATAATCCATGGAAAACATTATTTAAGCATTTAGGTAATCTCATGCTTAACCTACAAGTTGTAAGCAACTAGATGTCGATCCTCACCTCAAATGAGCTTTAAAACCTTCCTTCTCGATCCAATGGCTAAAGCCTCGGCCAAGGAAGATTGGGAACTAGTTCCTTGCTTGAAAATGGGTGCTAAACAGCCTCCTCAAGTTGCTATTTCAACCCCGAATCGTTGATACTAAAACAGCCCCTAGAACGGGTGTTTTCCGGCTAACTCGATTCCTAGTTTTCCAATGTTTGCATCTAGGTTAGTATCTAACCTTTACATCAATAAAATAACTTAATAGGGATGTTTTATACACTTGGAGTAGTGTATAATAGTCCCACCAATCGTTCATATCATTTGGAAAATGAATGGAAAGGTTTTGGGATTAACAACTCACTTAGAAGAGTAAATCCGTCCCTGCGAGGTCTCGTTCTGCTCGGACGATTTGGAAGCCTTCCTCTACTCCGATTGATTCAAACCAGACCTTCACGGATTCCTCGTCTTGAGAGCTTTCTTTTGGTATCTCACACGCCTTAATTGGATTGGTAAAACTCGAGATATCGGCCAAACAGTCTCAGCACTCTCACAGCTCGAGTTCACAGACCTCTGCTCGTTCCAGATCGATTTTTGGAGGATTGACTTCTCCTCTCGAACTGTGGCCACTCAAATATGAAAATAGACTTCAAAAGCTATCCAAAGACACCTTATACACGTTGTTTGGTCGAGTATAACTCCCATAATGAGTGGAGACAAACAGCACACCATTTTGTGCGGAAATTGACAAGGTGGGTCTCAAGGTTGATTCCAATCAAGTCTTGTGCAGCCCTCCTCCAGCTGGTGCGGCCAAGGTAAGTCTCCTCACTTAATTTTCTTGTTTTGTAGGTACTCTAATCATGTGGAGTGGTTCCCAATTGATCCCAATTAATTTGGGATCCAAATTATCTACCAATACTTCCAAAAATGGGGAAAATGGGTCCTATTGTTTTATCTTTGTCAAAAGATGTCTTTTTGTACTCATCCTAATTTATTTAGAACAAGTCAACTTCCTAAATCACATTATTGATCTCCAATATGTGTAGGCTCATCCCAATAATTTACATTATGAAAATTACAAACGAATGCGGGTTTGAACAATACAATATTCAATCATATACTTCGTAAAATATTAATCGTTTCTTCCATTGTTTTGAAATCGGAAATTCAATACATCACTTTGGAATTTTTAAATCGAATTTTCAAGGACGTTCGGGTGCGGTGTCACAAAAAGAACCTGGATCCTTAAGCTTCTTCGGCAGATCTGTCCGTATCACAGCTGAGCACTCCTCATTAAGCGTCACAGTAGACGCTTCTTCCAGCCTCCTCTTCTTTGTGAGCAAATCCTTCATAAACTTCGCGTACTTCGGCATCTGAGCTAGTGCATCCACGAATGGTAAGTTAATCTGCACTTGTTTCATGAGATGCAGAAACTTACCAAACTGGTCACTGTCGTTCTTCCTAGTCAATCGCGCCGGATAGGGGAGAGGTGGGGTGTAATTCTTGACCGGAACGGACTGTTTTGGTGCAGCCGCCACCTCTCTTCCCTCATCTTTCTCCGTATCTTCCTCCCGGACAGCCGGTTCGACTTGAACTACATCGGGCTTCTTTGTTATGGCAACAGGTTCCAACTCTTTTCCACTCCTCAAGGTGACTGCCTGAACATGTTCTCTTGGGTTTGGTTCAGTATTACTAGGAAGGGATCCCTGAGGCCTCTCAGATAAAGCCTTTGAGATCTGCCCCATGTGAGTCTCCATGCTCTGCATCCTTGCCTCAAGCATTTGCATCCTTGAATCTGCTTTCAGCTGATTTTGTGCTAATTTGTTGAGCACTTCTTCCAAGCTAGAAAATTTTTGCTCAGTCTCCTTTCTGAAGCTTCATTGCGCCGGCTGAGGAGCTTGTTGCTGGCCTTGAGGTATCTGGGGCTGATTAAAGTTTCTAGTCTGCTGCTGATTTCCTTGCCCGTATTGCCCTTGCTGCTGCTGTCCGTAGGGCTGATTGTAGTAGCCTTGGCGCTGATAATACATCGCATCCACTTGCTCTACTCCAGAGGCTGCCGAGTGTGACATCATTGTGCATTCATGCGGCTAATGGAGTCCCCCACACATAGTACAAAAGGGACTAATAGGAACGGGGGCTACCATATTCACACTGGGCACCGAGAGAGCAAGTTCCGTCTTCTTTTGATTGTCTTCCACTGTAGTAGCAAGCTTCTGAATCAAACTGGTCAAAGCATCTACCCTTGCAGAAAGGGCGGAATTCTCACTGATCTCGTATAATCCTGGGGCCTTCTGGTGAGGTGTGTCCCGAGAATTGTACCATGAAGCATTATTAGTCACGATCTTCTCCACTAATTCTTCCGCAACCTCAGATGGCAACTGAGGAAAAGCTCCACCTCCCGAAGCATCTAGCATCATCTTTCCTTCATTGTTGAGTCCACTGTAGAAGCAAGATAGAACCTCACAATCAGTCATTTTGCCTTGAGGGCAAGCTCTTCTCAGCACCTTGAATCTCTTCCACGCCTCAGCTAGTGTCTCCAAAGAACCTTGCTTGAATTCCTGTAGCTGCTTCTTCAACTTTATGGCCTTTGAAGTTGGGAAGTATTCTTTTATGAAGGCCTTGTGCAGCTGGTCCCAAGTCTGAATGTGGTGATGTGGATTGCTATCCAACCACCTCTGCGCGTCATCCCTCAAAGAGAAAGGGAATAGTAGCATCCGAACCTGATCATCATCTAGCCCAGGAATTTTGAAAGTTTGGCACATCCTCAGGAATTTGGTAATGTGTGCCACTGGATCTTCCGTAGGGCTTCCTCCGAACTGATTATTTAGAACCATATTGATCACCGCCGGCTTGATCTCGTAACGGGGTGCGGTAATTCCCGGTACCTGAATACTGTCATACTCTGTGATCTCGGGGGCTAGGAAGTCTGCAATGCTCTCTCCTTGATAGAGTGGATTGTCATGTGGGACATAGTTGTGGTAAGGAGGGGCTTGATATCTCGGCTGATGAACAGGTTGGGGTCTAATGGGTTGTGGACGGATGACATTTGGCTGAGGTTGGGGTTGATGGAATTGTTGATATTGTGGTTGGAAGGGTTGATTTTGTGGCTGAGTAGGGGGTGGATTTTGTGTGACTGGTGGTTGGTTCTGTCTGGGCTGAAAGACTGGATTGTTTTGCCCCAGACCTTGCATCCCAAAGGTTTGGTTTTGAAAGGTGGTTTCGGGAGCAATAGAAGTATTTTGGAAGAGCTGATAGAGTGGTGGAAGATTTAGTTGTGGAGTTGACTGATTTTGGTGGAAGAATGGGGTACAGAGATTTTGATACCCCGGATAAGCTCTAGGTGAATTTTCTTGTGAAGACTGGGGAGAGGTATTAACATAAAAATCCAGATTACCAGAAGTGGTTTGGACCTCAGACGTCCCAGCTATTCCAGATGCGGATGGTTGATCCATGGTTGCTTTCTGTTCTCTAAAAGCCTTGCGGTTCTGCTTAGCTAGTTTCTCGATCTCAGGATTAAGAGGGACTAGTGATTCTCCCTTCTTAGAGCGCGTATGCATAAACAGATCTGACCTGCAAGGTTAGCAGACAAAAATCCTACGAAAAACTAAGAACAGGTCGCTAAAATTAATTAACCCTTAAATCCGACACCGTCCCCGGCAACGGCGCCAAAAACTGATGTGAGTATTTTCTCGCACTTAAAATGGTTGTAGAAAAGTGGTTGAAAGTACGAGTATCGTCTCCACATGGACGGACAAAGGGGAAATAAGGTTTAACTAAATTTAACGATTAAACAGAAATAAATAAAATAAAAGTGCAATTGTGCGAGATTGATTGATTGATTAAACTAAAACTAATGCTAATGAGCGAATAAAAAGATTTGGTTTTCCTTAATTAACGACGAAGGGAACAGGAATTGATTCCGGGGTTAACCAGATTTCTGGCAGAACAGGCCTAATTACATGAATTTAATTTAATTGAGCCTAGCTAATCATTACTAAGTTCTTACCGCTCTCGCGGCATAGAGTACAATAATTTAGGGGTCCAGGTTGATCTCTCATGCGACAAGATCCTAAATTATTGCCAAAACGAGCGAGCTTACGGCCCCTTAATCGCTACTAATCTCTTAGCGAACGATTAAGTGTGTGTGAATGTGTCCTAGAACAAATTAGATCTCTCTTAATTTATTCTATAAGCAATTGTAATTCTAGTGGCCATCTAGGTTACAAGAGATATCAGTTAAATTATTCAAACACAAATTAAACGGCATTCATGCAATTAAACCGACAAGAATCTAGCCATCAATCATGATTAACCCCTTCATCAACCCCAAATCCCTAATTAAACTACTCACGCCTTATAATTGACGAATCAAAAGAATTGGGATGAATATAAATAATTGTCATTAATTAAAGAATTGAACTTACAAAGAATCCCAGGTTCTTGGATTTAAACAACGTAAAAAACGCAGATAAACTCGTCCCTAGGCCTCTCTCCAAAGTTCGTAACCCCCAAAAGTGGGTATGGAGGCCTTATTTATAGAAAACAGGAGAATTTGAGCTGATTTAGGACAAAACGGGGCCAGACACGATGCCAGGCACGATCGTGCCTGGGATCGTGCCTGCGGAAGGGACGCGTAAAAATATTGCAGACACGATCGTGCCTGCCCTAGGCACGGTCGTGCCTGACCATTTCTTCATCGTTTTTCTTCGTTTCTCGTTCCGAATGCTCCCGAATGTCTACGAGGTCGATCCAAATGCTCTTTCTTCACCGGAATTTCGTCGTGAATCTCCCGGTGGCCTCCAAATCTTCCAAATCTCTCTCGAATGCCTTCAAATCCTTCCCGAATGCCTCTCAAGCGCCGATTGCCGGACTCTAACTTCTTCAAATCAACTTCAAATGCTATGACACTCGATCCAACGCCTGTTAAACACATCTTGAGCCAAAATTGAGACTTGCAACGCCTTGAAGCCAGGAAAATCATCAGAATCCGACCCGAACACGCATCAAATGCGTGTCTAAATACGGACTTATCACTTCACAATAGGGAGTGAAATAGGAAAGTAACAACTATTTAAGCTTAGTGCGGATAGAGAATAGTTATGTTTTTATATATAGAGAATAGTTATGTAATAACATGTATCTATTAGTCATAAAAGTAGAACCAGACGAAACAACATCTCCAAATAGAGCATAATTATTTCGATCTATATAGGGCCAGCCACAATTAATTCAGGTCATCAAGTAATCATATTCATCTACATCATAATTAAAGAAAAATTCAGAACATGTATCCCGCTTTATAAAGAGCTTATCAATCAACACCTGTAACATACGCCTTCAAATTACGTTTAAAGTTCTTAAAGTCAACCACAATTGCACCATTATTCAAATACCCAGCCACCGACAGCTTCTTTATGCAAATGATAGCATTTCATTGTACCAATATTTGCTTTTGAATAGTTCGAAACAAAATTTTGGTGGCCAAGATCAAGGGCTCGATAGATCTTAAGAAATGGACAAAATGGGGAGATATCAAGGGATGGTTATCTCTCTCTTCAAATCAAGTAATCACATATCCATCTACTCCATGTAACCTCATAATCTTTAAGCTCTTCGTTAGAAAGAAGAGTGTTCTCATAGTCAAAAGATCATCTGGACTCAAAAGA